AAAAAAAAAAAAAAAAAAAAAAAAAAAAAAAAAAAAAAAAAAAAAAAATAGTGCGGTTTCCATTATACGCTTTAATTAGCAGGAGTACGCTTACACAGTTACACTTTTTCATGATCTTAAAAGTAATTTTTTATTTTTTTATTTTCCGGTAATACTCTCAGTTTACCATAAACCAAACTTGGATAGGGATAATTTATAATTTTTTTTTTTTGCTATTTAATTGTATTCTAAAAATGCAATTTAAAAATATATATACACATTTTTTTAAATGCTGCTTACAACACAGAGCTTAATGAAATGCTTTCCAGCAAAATCAATGTATTAAGATTTGAAAGAAAAAAAAATTCGACAATAAATATCCAAAGCATTTAAAATACGTTACAAAAATCTTTATTATGTAAAATGTATTGTACTTATTTGCTTGAAAAATAAATATTTTTTTGTGTTGTATGATGAAAAGTAATGAATAAAAATTGTTATAAGAAAATAAATACCCTTCATTCGAGAAAAAAAAAAAAAAAAAAAAAATGATTTAATCTAACTGACCTCCCAAATCTTGATAAAAATTAACTAAATAAAAAAAATTCATTCAATGAAAAAAAAACGTCTGTCATAATGTTTGAAAATCCATAAAATACGTGCACCCAAGTTTGATCACAACGCAAAATCGCACGTGGAATCAACACATCGAAAAACGAAAAAAAAACCATCCAAATCCCATGTGTATTTGTATAGGTATACGACACTCTACAATCTTGTACATACACCCCGTATCGTATATACAACGCAATCCAAATTGAGCCGATTTGATTATTCCCGGAATTCCATTGACTCTCGCTTTAAGCAGCTCACAACGGGACCCCCTTCCTCCCTCCCTGAATGGGGGGGTATGTGTATACACATATATACAATAACAGCATATCGATCGACGCTCAAATTACGCCCCCCATAAACCCAACAACACGTGTAACATCAACAAACAGGAGTATACCTTTCATATACAGTCACACACACACACATATGGGCACACGAGAGTAAACGAGCCGTTAAATATAGCACCCAGGCTTTTTTTCAACGCTATACAAAACTTACGTGCAGTGTATACAAGTATATGAAAGAAAGTGAAAAATAAAAAGAAAATCTCAGACGCTACTCTCTCTCTCTCTCGTGGATCGTAAAAAATTCACACGCTCATAGTGTACGGACTGATCTTCCAAATACGAAAAGCTTTCTCGGTGTACGTAGCGAAAGAGAAAAGCTTTCCCACGCGAAGGCTCTTTATTGTTTTGTTGTGTTTGCACGCGTGAGAGACCTTCTGTGCTATAATGCTACTATACGGAAGAGAAACGAAGTGTGACGACGAGACCCTGAACGAGAAACAAGAAAATTTTGTTGCATGTATGGAAAGGGAGGGAAAAAGCAGAGGCGTTGAAACGTGTACATGTGCACATGTAGTTATAGGCGTACAAAAGCGAAAAGGCGTCATCCGGAAAGGGAAAAATAGAAAACTACCGGGGCGGGGTATAACGACGATGATAAACTCAAAAGGAAAACAAAAAAACAAAAAAAAGGGAACGAGGGCTGGCGGGTGGGACTTTGTAAATACACTCGGAGGGTGGGGGTCGGATTTCGGTGTTCGATGAACCGTATAATTACTCGTAAAATTGACTGTTGTCGTATTATTACCTGATACGGTGCACACTAAAATTGTATCCCTCACAGGTGATACAAGTTGACAGTAACAATCAAACTACACCGAAGTACGAAATTAGACCCCCTCAGCCCCCCGTGGGGGGTCATAGAGAAATTTGCATATCAAACAAGCCCTTGATATAGTTTTTGAGGGGGGGGGGGCCAGTAGTGGGATGATTGTTACGTACGTCATATGCGCTAATTGCCCTCGATGTGTGTGTGTGTGTTTGTATATGTACCTGCGTTACAAAACACGCGGGAGTGGGGGGTTTGTAAGGGATCCAAAAGGGAAAAAGTACAAAATATATGAAATACACAATCAGTGGGGGGAGAGGGGGGGTCGACGAAAGAGTGCGGTATACTTAACTAGTTTGCTTGGGAGAAAAACAAAAGGTGCTCACCGCGCGTCAGATTCGCGAGCCCGTCCATGATCCCGTGATCGGCGCCCAGCGAGGACAGCGGCAGCGGTACTTACAGGCGGCTGCAGCAACTCGGTGCTCAGTACTCATAATAATCAATCAAACGCGGTATTGGATCCCACGGCCGGCCAGTTCCGTTTTTTTTCTCCGATGACCTCCCGTTACCTCCTCTATGTGCTCTCTTTTTCTCTCCTCCCTCGCCGTATAGCTTCGGAGACGAGGATCCGCTAACTGCACCAGCACGACACAACTGGAGAAATCATCTTTTTTTTTGCCCCCCCCCCCCTTTCTTTCTTCCGTCGTCGGCCAACACTGTATACACTGATAATATATATACCTTTGTGCCGAAAGCAACAGGCTCGTGCGCTATACTATGTCGGGTCCTCGACACACGTACAGACGCGTTTGCGTATATATGTTTGATTGAGCACGACAGGATAAACGCTATGTAATCCTGGTAAAAATGATTAATCGTATGTATTTCAGTCGCAAGCTCTTCTGTGAGCGGCGCAGGGTCCTTAGCTGGCCGCCCGCTGTCCGCAAGCTCGCGCTTACCTACTGGCCGCAGCGGCTCAATGCCGTGTGCTTATACCCTCTCGCCATCGCGTGTGTTGCGTACACGAAGAGTTCCGCAAAGAGATATCCGAGGGTTGGACGGATTTGGTTTTTCTTGGGTTTAATGACTTTGATGTTTTTTCCCTTTTTTTTTTGGGGGGGGGGGGTATTTTTTCGAAGAGGCAATAGTGCCGCATACTTATTGAACACTTGTGAACAACAAAGGGCCCCGAAGAAGGGGCTCCTTGTTGGGGTGTAAGGGCGTTTGACAAAACGTTAAACCCCAATAACCCCGTCATTGCCGAGCTTTCGGGAGGAATCAAGTTTCGATCCGAGTATACCTGCACGGAGAATTTCCAGCGATACCGTTGTACGCATCAAGTGCGGGTGGCAATATTAGGGAAAATCAGGGAAACCTTGAGATAACCGAGGGCGTGAAAAATAAACTTAATTTTTTTTCTTTCCAACGTAGTATAGGTACAAGTGTTTTTTTTTTTTTTTTTTTTTTTTTTTTTTTTTTTTTGCAGGATTGCTCGTATACGTAGAGCCAAAGTGAGCACCGAGCAGCCCTCGATCGTCAGGGTGAAAATATTGATTTCGACTACCGCGCCGCCGCCGGTGGAGGTGTAGAGTATATCTATACAAGTGCACACACCACGGTCTATATATACATATATACGTCATATCCATGTACATGTGTACGAGCAGAGAGCGGGGTTGATGCTTTCCCCACATATACACACACACACGAGGCGATCTCGAGGTGATTGATAATAGAGTAACGAGCGATACATCAGCCCAATTTTGGAGAATTCAATGTCATTTTGGACTGCTGTTGACAGAGCCCTTTTACTGCTTGAAAGGCTAATAGTATTGGGTTCTTGGGTTTTTTTGGCTGTTGGTGTATACCTCGGGGGCTCACGTCAAGGATAACAAGGATGCAATGGTCGTTGTGATTTTAATTTTTTTTTTTTTTATTCATTTATTATTACTTTTTTTTTTTAATCAAAGGGACAACTATTTTGTCCAATGCGTGTAAGTTAAGTTCGACTTAGGAAATTGCGAGGAGCAAGGGACTCATGACAATAAAGTACCCCAAATAAAACAGAATTAAGCATGCCTGATGCGTTCGCATCGTTTCATTAAGAACGAGATAAATTGGGGTCCCTAGGGCCATATCAAGGGCCTAGACCGAAAAAGAATGATAAGTGTAGATTACTCACAATGAGGCCTACAACATTCATCAACATTATTTTCTAACAATTCACACGAAGGGATGTTCACCATAATAAATTTGTGTACGTAAGCATATTTGATAATGCATATATCTTGCTTTGTTACGTAGTTCTAATGGCAAAATTAAGCCGTGTGCCAAAATCACATGAAATTATTTTTGCCCCAATAAAAAGTACATACTTTAATTTAGAATCCTGCCCCCACCACATTTAGAGTGGTCTCCCACTTTCTCCCCCGCAGCCCGCAGCCCCCCCATCGCATAACACTCTGTTTTTTCATGTTGAAAGTAACAGATATATAACTTAAAACGTGTAGTAAAAGAGTTGAATGGCACAAGGATTAGTATTTATAGAGGCGGAAATATCGGGGTGAAAATAATAAACAATTGTAGAAATTGATACTCAAAAAAAAAACGTGAATACATATTGAAATAATACATACATCAAATTTTTTAAATCATATAAAGTTCTTATTGCATATAAATTTTTTTTTCGTTGTACGTTGTGCATATTTAAGGATGGAGATAAAAGGGTAAATTTTGTTGAAATATTTGACATATATCAGTTAAGAGGAAGAGGATTTCCTGTCTTTCCGTGCTGAATTGGGTTACGAGGGAGGGCTGTAGTTTAAATATTCTATAAGCTTATTCGTTATTTTTTGATTAAGTATAAAAGCATTCTGTCATGTTCTTATACTTACTTATTAATGCAATTTAGAAACTTATTGAGCATTTAAGAAAAAAAAAATAAGCCTGCCATATAATTATTTCACTAGTGGCCTGAAAATGTGCTAACAAATTATACAGGTAAAATAATTGTCCCATTTGATAATTGGTTTGTATCGTCAAGATAAGGATGGATAGAAAACTGGTTAATGGGGGTCGGAAAACATTTTTAACTTAAAAGAAATAACATGGTANAAACATTTATAATTTAATATGAATGGCTCTAAATATTAAAAAAAAAAAAATCTAAAACCAAAACACTTTCTTTAATATTTATAATATTTACAATACTATGAAGCAATTTTTTTACACAATTTTTCACTCTACAGTCGAGTGTAAGTTGGTGTTTGAGTAACGCTAAACTATACATTCATTGAATAATTCAAATGTTTAATTTTAAGAAATCAATTGCGTTATTAAAATTTCAGTTACGTACCAGGTAAATTTTAATATTTTTATGACGTTTTACATAAACTAACTTGTTGACGAGTTATTTGTGTAAATAATATTCTTAGGTACGGACATCTGCATCCAAGGATTTCGTAGGTATACACCCAAGGGACCGAGTTGGATGTGCACCAAACAATAATTTTTTTTCAGCGAGGGTGCAGCAAATAACGAAAAAAAAATTAACTTTCTACTACCTAAGTAGGCACGATTGCTGTGCAGAAGTGTAACATCTATAAGAAAGAACCCAGAGCAAAAAGTGTAACATCCACTTATAAACACGTATAAATCGGCTATCTCGAAAAGTTTACGTGCGGTTGGGTTCAAATTTGAATTGTAGCTTCATTTTAATACCATAGTCCACTAGTTTTCAATCCACAAAATTTTATCGAAGGGAAAAAAGTTACATACTAGTCCTAAGATTGCAGAACTCTAAATTAATGTTGGTTTTTGCAGGTAACTTTTTAAGTGAACTTTTAAGGTCAAGAAAAAATTTAGATTGAAAAAAAAAAACTTTTAATCACTCATATAAATCTTTAAAAAAAGGTATTTTCATGCTTTTATAGTCAAAGAAATATTTTGTTTAAATAAATATTATATATACTTATCATACTTATTTTCAGTTATTATTTTTCATTCGTTAAAATAATTTTTACTTGGGCACGTCGATAAAAACCCGTTATCTTGGCCGTTATAAGACATACATCTTGACGTATTTTTTCTGTGAAGTAAAAAAAAATGTTTTTTTTTCCTTTTCTTACATATTTCACTTTGGTTGAAAAAAAAAAATAAATAAATAAAAAATGGTAACAAGGTTTTATCACCTAAGCTCATCTCCAACGAGGCTAAGCTCCGTATACAGTTAATGTTGAAAAATTAAAAATAAATGCTAAAAGTATTTTTTATTTTCTCTGCCTTTTACCACTTTTGTAAGTTTAATAAAATTATTATTACGAACTTCGACATTTTTTCCGCAAAGAGAATATTTTTTTTTAACAGTACTTTTTCACTAGTGATTTTGTACGGTATTAAGAACAATATGGCACATAATGCAATAAATTTAAGAATACAATGCTAAAATTTTTTAAGCTTCAAACAATCTGGGCGAAATGCAACAATAGTATGATGAAACAGTCAAGAGTCAGTTAATCGTTACATGCTATTTAAAGGTTCACTACCCAATGTAAGAAAAACACAGGTGTGTTTAAAAAAGTTATTCATTACAATCATAGCATGAATAATACTTACTCATCAATACTTACTCGTATAAGTAGTATATAAAACCTTATGATAATTTTCACATGCATAATAGTTTAGCAGTTTAATTAATACAGTTATATGTACTTGAAAGACATACATTTAAAAATTTGATGTGCAAAACTAAAATATTTTTTTTCGCAAAAATAAAATTAAGATTTCTGAAAACATTTTAGTAAATACATTCGTTTTTTTTACCTAGAGTTAAAGAATACTTAAATACTCGGTGCTTGGTTCTTATGAAAAATTTATTTACAAAATATCATATGTTACATTGTATCCTCATGTGTATCCATTAGATTCTTGACATTTGACTATGTACATGTATTCACACTAAAAATCATACAAAAAAAGGAGTTAGTTAATAATTAGCTATGCTGAATCACATCATATATATATTTCAAAACAGAGACTGTAGAACTTTATGACATAAATTGTCTTGACATTCATACATGTATAGATTTAACCAACACATTTTTCAACTCTGGATGCAGTTCATTTAGTTATCACTTCAACACGTTAAATTGAAATGAATTCAGTGTCCATGTAAGTAACAACTGGTTGGCTTGGAAGTGTGCAGTTGCACATTCATCAGTCTCAGCTCTGAGATGGGGTCAATGAAGTTGGCATGCCCTTATAGCAATTAACTGTAGAAGAATGAAAACTGGACTGAGTACTTCAGAGTACTCAAGAGCACTCTGTCCAGTCAATTTTCTACAAAGAAGATACTTAAAAATAAACAGTAACAGCAGTGATATCAAACTCCACAAGCCTCGCATTACACCACTTTTCACCATTCCTTCCATGTACTGTCTTATAAAAACAATGACACAAAAGTAAGAGTTCAAAGCATCAGCGACAAACAGAGGAGAAAAGACTATCCACCAATCGTTGTTATCTTTAAAAGTAAACTGATCTAACTTCAATGCCAGTAAAACTATAAAGATGAAGTAAGACATCAAATTGATCCATATTTCAAATAACGTCAGTCCCAGCCAGCTGACTAACTCAGACAGGGAAAAGATCATTTTTATTGTATTGAAAATCGCATTTAAAATCTAAGAGCTCCAATAAGAGCTGTTCGGAATACTCGAATGTGTATGGCTGAGTTACATCTGTTGTTTACTTCATAGTCAGCATCATCAGTTTTTGGCTCGAGATCATCTAAAATAAGAGATTAAATCTGTAGATTTATAAGTTGCCACTACCACAAAAAATTATGATCTGGCACTTTTACCTGTCAAAGCAACACTCGAAGTTTTTACATACAACTGAAGCGTGCCATGATGAATTCTTTGAAGTTTCAGAGCCAAGTTGCACGTTTTAATAATAGCTCCTCCTAGTCCATGCAATATAACTTCTTTGGCCTCGGAAGCAAGAACTTTTTCACACTTCTTCAGCAAAGCCTGAAAGATGGAACGAAAAAATATGTCAACCAACATTGTAATGTTGAAAGTTTCACCCTTTAACAGAATAAAAAAGAATACAAAAAGTACGACACACAAGCCAGTTTACGTGTATTTTTTACTGAGACATAATGTGGAAAACATTAGAAATATATAGTTAGAAAGTCACACAGCAGTAGGTTATGTGCAAAGCTTACGATTGACCACACACCTTGAAATCAGTATTGTTGTTGACATAAACATCCTTATTTCTTTGGGAAACCTTGTCGGGTACTCTCTTCCTCACAACATGTGAATCGTCAACAGTTTTCCTCTTGGCCTTTCTTTTCTCATCATTTGTTGTTTTTGCACTTTTCTGCTCCAACCCAGTCTCCGTTCTGTTGTCGTCCTCCATTCTGGTCGTGAGAGTGAAAGTGAGATATGTTTCGAGTTGGAGAGTTACTATATTTTTTAGACTTCCAGACATAAATATACGTCAGAATCTCTCAAGGCAGGGCTGTATCCTCCTGCCTTCCTGTCATATTGAGCTCAAACTTTGGGCTCAATGTCCGTTTGAACAGTCTCCATAAGTTACAGCAAAATAAAATTGTTTGGGAGCTCAAAAGTTGACAAGTTTTTGGGACTTTAATTATTTGTGAGGCGCATTCTCTCGAATCACCAGGACTAGAATTCATTTCAAAGCGAAAAATCTTTGCTTTCGAATATTATATTTATCGCGGGAAACTATGTCTTGAGCGCGGGAAGAAGCAAACACCGAACCGCTCTTTTTTTATCACATTCTGAATCCTATTTTTTTTGGCAGTATACACTAATACAGGCAGTATGATTAGATATATGCACATACGATCTTAAAAGATTTTCTTTTCCTTTTTTATTTAGTAATGAAAATGAGTTACGTTGCGCCTTTTTTCATGGCTAGGCTGCACAACGGCCCTGAGGTGTAGGTACAAAGTTTTAATATTTCATTAATCGGCCAATCGTAGGAATTAACGTTCAAAGTCACGCAATAGGATCATACTTTAACCACGAACTACAACGTCTACGAATCACTTTCCGACTCCAGCAAAACTGTTTACCTCTTTTAGGTACAGGGATACGAGTAGTTTCCACGACCAATCGGGGAGATGGAAAAGAGCGGGAAAGTAAACCATTGCAGTACGTGTTGTTCTATACCTATATGTACATTTTACAGCGAACCAGCTTGTGCAGCCGACGTGCGGGAGACGTGACCTGACGCGATTTGTCGAGTGATATGCTGACCAGCGATCTTAAAAGTGGCCACCGATCAAGCACGCGAAATTTAAATATGGTACTTGCAAAAAAAATACTAGTAAAAATTAAATTATTGATCAAATGATAAAAAAAATACAATTGATAACGCAATAATTATCCAAGACGTATTCGAATCAACATTTCTCTTCTAAAATCTCAAATGCAAACATATATGAGTATACGCTGAGTATCGTAATGATAATAAATGTCATTGGTTGAATGGTATTACCAAAAACTTGACATTTTTTTAGTCAATACTGATAATTTGTTGACTCAATAATTTCGTTTAATAGTTTCTATTACAGTGTAGAACATAATTATCATTAAGAGCGGGTGTCTGTTTTACCATTAGTGCTACGCAGTATTGTGGAGTTTATCGACGGTGCAGAAAGTACGGTCACATGAGTTTGCGTGCCATGGAATTCTCGCTATCCCATGTCTCGATTGCTATTAAAATAATTAATTAATGGTGAATAAAACGTAGCACCAAACTCACAGGTTATTCAATTCACCAAAAGCTTGAGAAATTAAGGAAATATTATTTATTGACATAAAAAAGTACATATGTGCAAATAATTAAACATTTATATTTTAAGTTTTAAGTATTCCATAGACATCTTCAAAATAATGATTCTGATCCAATCTCTTTTCCGATGTATGTCTTTATTCGGAAACCAGTCTTTAAGGCACGGTATGTCCAAATAATTAACTATTGGAGTCTAAATATGTACAATGTTACAGTATAAGTACATACTATTTAATTATTAATGCAGAACAGTTTAAATTTATATACCTTGAAAAAGGATTCAACGAATTGCAACAGATACACTCCACAATCACTGCCATTTAGTTGTTGCTGTACGTCTAAGCAATGCGTTTTCATGTTATTACTGTTGTAGGTTTTGTTTACTTCATTGTTTGCTGAGACTTCATTTAAAAATTTGAGTAGTGTGTCTGTCACTTCAGCTGTCCCATAATTTTTAATTGAGTTCATTATCAGTATACATGGGCTAGAATGACGAAATAAATATGTAATAAAATAACAGGTAATATACACATTGCATTTCTAGTTATTAGCAAAGCTTTTCAACACCTTCCACGAGAGCGGTGATATTCGATTTTAAGGTAATGTAGCTCTTTTTAAAAACCATAATTGTGAGAAAATTTTTTTCTTTAAATTAATAATTAAATTTTCACAAGACATTTAAGTAGTACACATTATTGACCGTAATAAATGCATATTTAAATGAATCCAATTTTTAAAATTTAATGACTTTAAATGAAGCCTAGATGAAACATTTTTACTTAATTCGTTAATGCACTATTGGCTAATAAAAAAGCAAGAGAAGCGTACTCAGGTTACCTTCGTTTATTTGCGATCCAAGAACTTTGTAATCAATTAATTCATCGTTAAATAAAAGATATTGTATACAATGGTACACTGTGTTAAATTTTCATACGTACGCTTTCACATTCGTTTTTCATCGTTTCAGAAACGTTGGACACGTTCCATACACCAAGTAAGGAAAACATACTACAGCTAAAAACCAATGTGCACTACAAAAATTTACACATTATTTTATATTGTATTCAATATAGACACAAAAAAATTTTTTTTTATATCTTTTTTGAGCTACAAGTCTTACGTTTTATTTACTGGAACTATGATAAAATCTTTTTCCAATATATCGCTTTTCCATTGACTTCTGCGCTCATACTTGTGTTGGGTGGACTTAGCAAACATATGTAAACTTTCATAAAAAAATGAATCCATGATAATACTTTTTTTACGATCTCTTTCGGTTAGAATATTATGATACAAGTATTTTAAATAAAAGTTGACGATAACATCGTTCAAAAAAACGTTTGGACGTAATCGTAGCAGATCTAATCCACGTACTTCTATACCATCTTTCGCCGGAGAAGCAGGATATACTGCGATTCTGCAACAATAATTATAGTCGTAAGGATATAAATATCATATAAACTGATGCTTGATTTATTTGTTTGACTTAAAATCAATTCGATTTTTAAGTTTAAGTGAAACTGGAGTTCATGTACTTGTTAATATTTGGCCATTATTTGTTTTAGCTACTGCTGTCACGCTCTTAGAAAATTATTTGTATCAACATATATTTTAACATAGTAGACAGTATATACACAGAAATAAATGAATGAAGATTCTACACAATTTCTTATCAATATATTAAAAATATTGTTTCAAATGAATTTTTCATCTTCTATAACGATTTTTTTACAGGTAATTTTATTCACGATAATAGGTTACTATTAATAACGAATATTTATTGAGGTCATAAGAGACATTTTCA